TATGCTAACTACGTGGTGAAGTCGTGCTCCTTCTTACACTACTTACTTGTATGCTAACTACGTGGTGAAGTCGTGCTCCTTCTCTCAGTATTTAATTACATGATAACTACAAATACTTTATTTTACTTCAAGAAAGAGCAGCTTTTGAGAAATATGTTAGTCACGGGCTGATTAACATTAAAGGACCAGTCCGGGCAATATTACATAATGCATACTGGCTAAATAATTAAAATTCAAAATTAATTTCTAAAAATGCGCCAATTGCACCAGCCCGGGCATTTGTCCGGTATCCCAGGGGACCAATTTGCCCCTGTGTTCAATTCGCTAGATGGTATTTTCTAAGGTCTAGCTGAACAATATACTTAAGATGACGACTGGACAGTCGCTATTTTTTTGTTAAGTTAAAGTTGTTTGTTGCTATTTATTCTTCTATTTATTTTGTTAAAATCTGACCGTTAAATGATTAGATAATTGTGTCTAAAACCACACGTTTCAAGCTCTTAAACATTGGTAGTAAACATTTCAGTTTTAAACCAGTTACCTGCTTGATAGTCAGTAACAGTAATATTTATTGTTTAATTCGTGGTGTCGAGAGAAATATTGAAATTTTTTCCCCATTTCGTTTTTTGCAGTATTAATCTAAATTTAAGTATTCGTGATAGCATTTTTCATTTAATTTAGGTTCGGCTTATTTTTGTCTCTACAGGGAATTGGCATTTTCCCATGGATAGCTGACTGTTAAAAGCGTAGAAAATATACTTTAAACAATGATAAATATACACCAGAGACCTGTAAAATCTGGGGAAGAGATTCGCCACATTTCCACAATGATAAATATACACCAGAGACCTGTAAAATCTGGGGAAGAGATTCGCCACATTTCCATAATGATAAATATACATCAGAGTCCTGTAAAATCTGGGGAAGAGATTCACCAAATTTCCTAAAATTCTATCTCTTACAGGAGTCCTCCCGTGGCTCAGCGGTAAGCTTAAAGATTATAACGTTAGATTTATGGGGAGCTTAAAGATTATAATGTTTTGTCCTTTAAGTCAAATTCTCTGATTTAATGTTAACATTATTGGAAATAATATACTTGTATGTGTTATTCTATAAGAACAGCATAGTACTAAGTCTTGGAAAGCAATCAAAAGTGACTTTTATATTGTAAGAAA